AAATGGCTGTATAAAGACTACAGATTCTTATTTTGGAAGATTTGAAAGCTCTTGTAAAATACTAGTTAGTTTTACCTTAACTATCCATTTTTAATAAATATTTAATTTAGATTTTCCATTTGTGATACAAGTCATTAATATACCACCGAAAAAACTTCAATTCCTAAGCAATGCACTTTGTTTGAACACTAGTGTATGGCTCAGACTAGCTTCCATTGCAGTTTCGCTGTGAGATAATAATGCACAGTTTAGAGTTCTTGAAATGTACCTTTGGAATAAATCAAAGAGGCAAATGATATGATTGAAACAATCGTATGGTATCAAAGTGAAAGTTAACTCGTGCATCTACATGTTTCATCAAGACATTCACATAAGAACTTCTAAGCAGGAAGATGGTTTCTCAGTTGATGTGATTTATTGATGTAATGAAATTAAATATTAGTATTGCATCAAGTCATCAGATAACTGTCAGTGACAGTCTTAATAAGCGCACGTATAACACTGGTGGTGTAATCAATCACTCGTAGTGATTAATTGTACAAGAGCATGCAAAATGTGGAAGATTGTGGAACACATTGCAAATAACATAACAACAGCAACAGTTAACACAATGATCCATCCATCCATCCATCCATTATCTATACACCGCTTAATCCTCACTAGGGTCGTGGGGGGCTGGAGTCTATCCCAGTTGACTCAGGGTGAAGGCAGGAGACACCCTGGATAGTCCACCAGTCTATCACAGGGCTAAGTTAACACAATGATAAAGAAAATTTCTTCGGCTCCAGTGCATGCTCAGAAGTAAGTCTCACCGACACCCAGCACGCTAGAGGAGATTCTCTGACACACCTATGTAGTGTGGCTCAAACAGCTGATTTAGCTGCAAATTTGTGAAGCTTGTGCTTGTTTTCTTGCAGTAATCAGCGACGTGTTAAACCCCTGTGACTTCTGGTTTAACTGGGGCTAGAGGGATGTTAAATGACAGAGCAACAGCCTCCACGTGTCCATCCAGATTTCCCTGTGATGTAAAATTTTCACGACACCCAAATGAGTTCTCTCCTGTATGGAGTCTCATGTGTCTCTTTAGATTTCCCTCTAGGCTAAATTTTTCGCCACAAATGTCACAACCAAATGGTTTCTCTCCTGTATG